AAACTCAGTGCAAAGATGCTCTAGGACAATGTACAAACCTGATTAGTTTGGGGTTAAAATCTGTTTATATTAATTCCCTAATTAGCATAATAATTTATAATTTTTTTTGGTTCCAATCACATTTCAATAAAACGTGGTACATAGATGGTCTGTTACATTGCGCAGACCTCATTAGTTTTCCATTAAAATCTGTTCATATTAATTTTCTGATTTGCATTATTAGTTTTTGGCTTTTCCATCACTATCACTATCTCTGACAAGTAATTTTTAATTATATTTAATGTGTCTCCAATACTCTCAGCACATGGGAGTTCTTTCTAAGTTTTATTTGATTAGTTATTGAAATTCCTGATAAAATTAAGCAAACTATTATGAAGTTAAATGCTCTGAAAACTGTTCCTGGTACGAATATGAAAGATTTTATCGATTGCTATAAACCAAAAACTTTTTGGGATATTGCTATTAAAGGTATTTTATTACCAGCTGAATATAATACAACAGTTTTTGAAAAACTGATTGACAAAACCACTAAATATATAAACAACAGATTTATTGAACTTAATGAACCACCATTTAAACAGTTGTTGTGCTTGAACTTTCATCAGTGGCCTATGGATAAACAAGAATTGGCTACATATGGCAATGAAGATATTCATGAACTCGTGAACAATACAGTGGTCAAGTCATATTTCAGTGAATCAGAAAGAGAGACAATAATTAATGATTGGTTTAACTTGAAGTTTTATTGTAAAACACACAGGTCACAGACACTTTTAGATGTATACTCAATAATCCTACAGAGTGCAAATGATGTTATTAGTGCACCAGTCAAGAAATTATTGGAATATATGTTGACAGTATCACCTAGTACTAGTGCTTGTGAGAGAGGTTTTTCTAAAGTGAATGTTATACAGCCAAAACAAAGTCAGCTTGGACATTCAGTTGTGAGACATGACAAAATAAACGATGCCAGTGATAGATTTCGCAAATGAAAGAACAAAATAAACGCAATCAAAGGCGCCAACCACGCGCGTTGGAAATAAATAGAACGCGTTGTGACGAGAAAATTCGCCTGCATCTTTCACTCACGCAAACGCACACACATGCTATTTCCGTATATTGAATACGTTGGCAACGGAAGGACAAGTTTAAATCATCTTTTATTAACACAACTTTAAAGCAACAGTCTCACATTGAATATATGTTTATCAATTATTAAACTAAACATTCAATGAAGTAGAATGTGCTGGTTAAGACGAAAAGAGAAGGCTAAGACGAAAAACATGTGACAGTAAGATTATGCTCGTCTACTACACGCCCGGGAACTACACGCTCAAGTATCCAACTTCCCATGATCAGCAATAATTTCTAATATTGCCTGGATAATTGCATATTATTAGTTGACATCAGACATATCCCTGTACAGGATTTTTTTAACATTGTCTCAAATTTCAGAATAAGTTAGGATGAATATAAATTGAATATCCATCTTTTGAAAAATCAGCTAAACAGTTTACCACCAGGATTGTGTTGAATTGACGAGTTATCAACAAAGACGACCGGACGTCTCCGGTCATGAGCTGGCTGGTTTGAATTTATCCACTTTTACAGTGATGAATATTGCGTTCAAGTTGAGTTACTAGTAATTACAAGCCTGATTTACATTTTTCTTGTGGTGTTTTTTGTCAATGTATTAAATATAAGTGCGTTGGGAAACATCATAATTATATTGCGTGAGTGAAAGTCGCTGGTAAGACTGTGTCACAACGCATTCTATTTATTTCCAATGCGCGTGGTCGGTGCCTCTGATTGCGTTTATTTTGTATTTTTATTTTCGAAATGTATCACTCCCTGCGTTTTTTTTGTTATGTCTCGCAACTGAACGTCCAAGCTGACCTTGTTTTGGCTGTAAAAACTGAACTCAGAACTAGACTTTATACAACTTTCAGAACCAATTATTTGTTATGTCCGAAGGACCAGATTTAGCTGATTATAATCCTGACCCAGCAATTGTTGAATGGTTGTTATCTTCATCAACTTCAAGGCATATATCAGGACATAAGTTACCTCAACCTAAAACTGATGAAACATGCTCCATTACCTGAGATTGTATCAGAAAAGTAACTTACTCATGTACATGTATTAAAAAGGAAATATGCTTTTAGAAAATAAAAAAATAATGTTAAAACATCAATTCAGGACCAGTGAAATTATTACACGAACTAGTGACAATTTTCTTATCACTAGTCCTGGACCAGTGGAAAAATCCCATATTCTTCAACCCCTGGATTTTCATTTGTTCCTTGACTTTACTACACATGTTTAATAATTGCATTTTCATTATACCACGGTGCCATGGATATTTATCCTCAGCAGAAGTCATTCCTTATCATTATTGTCTCTTTTAGTTTATTATATGTGACATTGATCCAGTTTCTTATTTCTGTATATCTACGAACCTTAAACAAATTTGTGAGAAGTGAGAAAATGAAAATAGTTAGCTACCATTGTAGCAAATGATGAGATTTCCTTTGCTTTTGTTCTAAGTTATATATATACAATCGCTAACAAAACACTGGTGAAACATCCATGAAAATGAAAAATTTTTGAATATTTTACTATGATAAATTTTGTGTGTTTTCATTATGGTGAAAAAGTGTAGTTATAAAATTACGTGACCTATTTATTAGATTGAATGATAACAAATGGCTTTAATTTCCGTTGCTTTTCCCAAACCCATGTGTTAGGGTTACAGCATTACCTAGTGGTAATAATACATATAGACATCTTTACTGATAATGTGTGAATCATTTCAGACAGCTGTAAGGTTCACTTTGAAGATGTGAATAAGTTATCATCTTTCATGTTGAAAATTGTGCCAGAAGATGGTTACTGGGCAGGAGGGATATTTCATTTCCAAATAGAGGTACCAGAAGAATACAACATGCTGGTGAGTCTGAATACCTCCCAGGGGTTTTTCTAAATCAGGGAACAGGGGCGCAGCGCCCTGATACTCTCTGCTGGCACCTTCTTACCAAATTACTGATGGAATTTTGAAGTCATAAATATATTTCTTGAGCCGCGCACTTCCGTGCTGTCATACGACAGGAAATCATTCTCAAATATATTTTTCTCCATGAAAACTTCCTAGCAACACCAGCTGACAATGTGTCTGGACACCAAATACACTAAAATTACCCTCAAAATATTTCAATGGCGATAGATACTTTCCGATATGGCGTTTTCAGGTTGATCCGCCATGTTGTTTCTGTGCTAGCTACTCTCCCTCAACTCCCTCGCCTGTGTGTGCTCCCTCTTGTTCATTTTTTCTTGAAAAACCTCTGCCTACCATAGAAAATGTACATACAGTGTACATACTCAGTAATGTAGTAACCAAGGGAGCTTTCTAGAATGTTGCTTTTCCATACTAAGGACAGAATAGTGGTAATCAAGAAATAATTATAGTTTT